GTTCACCAGAGACGACGCCAAACCAACCATCAACCGCAAAGCAGAAGATGCAATGGGAGCCAAAAGCATTGTTAATATCCATTTCTTTTATTACGCCGTATTTCTACATAAGTTTTGTTGCACTTGAACTAAAAAAGGTTTTCATTTTGGTAAGGTTTTGGGTTTTTTATAAATAAAAAACACTTTAATACCAATATTTAAATCTAAATGGACGTTTGAAACGGCCATATGAAGCAATACAAATGTTTATTTTGGCTACTACATAGTTATTTATTTTTTAATTTGTGTTTCGTTCATCGTGTATCAATTAAGATACGTAATAAGCTGATTGCCTCTGTTGGTGGACTATATATCCCCGCGGTTGGTCTTAATCTTTTAGCTGACCTTCATCCTGACATGGCAAGGTTTTGTTTTCAAATATCAACTAATTTTCTTTAAAATAACATTTGTCTATGGACAAGGGAATCTAGGGGGGCAATTGTTGGTTCGAAACGAAGAATTATTGCCAATGTGTTAAGAATGCTGGTAAAAGTGCCATTGGTTTGACGATGTCTGTAGTAAAATATTCATGAAAGATCACAAACAAATGGATCGAATTAACTTTAAATTCTATTGAAAATACAGGTTTTAGTATAGAAAAATCACTGTATATTCTTCCTCTTTTGTTAAATATTTCCCAATAATGCACCTTCGGCTTTTGCAGAATGTTAATCTCATTCTTTCCCGGAAATAAGACATCTTATGTAGTGCACATACGGTTTAATCAAATGGTCGTGCGAAGTTTCATATTTCTATGAAAACTACATTTCTTTTAAAAAACATCACTTCTGTATTACTTATTTGGCATTGTAATTAAACAGGTGGTCAAATAAAATTACATAAATTTATCAACAACAGCAGTCATTGTTGTTAAAACCTAACCGAGACGTTAAAGAAACGTTTGAAATATCAGTATACTATATTTGACTCAATGTTGAGATACAGATGAATCACCTATTGCACAAAAATTCTAGCCATGTTACTTCTATACGTGATTTAAAACTATAGCTACGATACGAGACACTGCATTCATGTTTTGCCTGCTCACAACAACAATAACATCCAATATTCAACTTTCACCGGAAATTCAGAATGTTATCGTGAAATATCTAGCTCAGAAACTAGCTGAAATAGAGACAGAAGGAACAAGAGATGTCAATCGTCCGACGGATCATGTAGCGGAAGTAGAAGCCATGCGTGCTAGAGACATGCAGATGTTTGCCAACCGTATACAGGAAGTAGAAGATAGACGCGTTAAGGATGCAAGAATCTTCAAAAAACGTTTTCAAGAGGCGAGTTACCTTCGTGCCAGAGATGTACAGGTATTTTCCCAACGACAACAGGAAATGGCAGATGTGCATGCCAGAGATATACAGATACCTATCAAACAAATGACAGAGGTTGCTAATCGACACGGTAAGGAGAGCAAGATATCATCAAGTCGGTTGGCGGAAATGCACAAAATGTTCACTAGAGACGACGCCAAACCAATTATCAACCGCAAAGCAGAAGATGCAATGGGAGCCCAAAGCATTGTATCACCTTATCGTATCATGGAACTGAACAGTGGACACCCACAGAACGATCGTATAGAAACAATAGAAAAGCATGATGCAAGCGTCAAATGGAAATACAGCATTGTAATAAGCGATGTACTCAACGATTTAGACGAAAGGGATGGTCAAACAGAGCTTAGATCTCGTGAAAGTCTACAACGTGTAGGTATGGTAACACATTACATGTAGAATGTCGTTAGTGTACACTTGATATTACGATTAATTTAAGAATGCTTAATCAACTAACGGAATAAAATCGATTGATAGTCTGCTGACAACTGCAGTTTCAAAAGATCAGCTAACAAAAAGCCCACATTAATAAATTGATAACATGATATATGCAGCATGGATAAAAACAACAGTCTGCTGTAAAGCAAAAACAAATATATCAGGAAATCGGTGAATCAAATCCACTTTTCAAACTTGCAGATTTATTAATTAAATGGTAAAAATTGATAGTATTATCGACCTAACAACACATACTCCGAATCATAATGCTTTCATTAATTTGCGGGGAATGATTGTATAAAATAGTTATAATTGTTATTGTTGTCACAGCTCCGGAACATTCAGATGGAGATGCCTTACACGAAGTGGTCACCAAACATGTGGTCAACCCAACCCAGGGTCATATAATAAAATTACAAACCCCCAAAACAAACATCGGTGCTAGCTACCATCCAACTACCTGAGTGTTCAACCAGGGATTAACGTATTGTCTTGGAGCTTGGGAATCAACTACGATCCCGGACATGGAATGACAACACAAATTGTCCATAACGTTGTCGAATTCGGGCATACTTCAGTTAGTAGTGGCGGCGCTAAAGATCATTTTCTCGAAGCTCAGCCACTGCAGCAATTCACTTAGCACAAGGTGACATCTATTCGGGAACAAGCATTGCAATAGTCTGCTCGATGTTCACTGGTTTTCTCGTACAAGAATAAAGGGGTTCACATCACATTGAGATCAATATTTTCCTTTCTTCAAAGATATCTTGACTTCTTTCTTTCTTATCAGGTGGAGTCATAAATATATGATAAGGTAAATTAGGGGAAATAAGAAAGAATAATTTATCGACTATGATCAGTGTTACATATGAAAAAACTAGTCTAAGACACGTGCTTTCATCTTAATTAATCATTATCTATTACGTCACTTGGTATGCTAAACGACTTAATAATTCCCTTATGAAGTAATATTAACACAAAATTATCGTAATAGCGGAAGAAACCTGCCAAAAACATAACCAGAAATATCAACATTTTAAAGAGGCTCATTTAGACATGCGTAAATTATGTAAATTATCGATTTCGCTATGGCACGTAAGAAAATATTCTTCTTTTTTTTTATGTTATATCTTTGAAACGTTTTATAAACTGAGTGCGATGTAATTCTCTGTTTAAATGCCTGTTTATCCTCTGATAAGAAAAAAGAGAGAAGATTAGCGGCACGGTACATTTAAGCATACTCCAAACATTATACATATTTCAACAAATATCTTTCCGAGGTAATTTATCAGATCATTTTATTTATGTAACTTGATAGATGTCCTGCACCTTTCTTAAAATATCTACGTTAGAAGTCTATATTAACGCTTATTATTTTCTAACACACACACTAGCAAGGAAACATGATTGTATCATTGGTTAAAGGGAAATAACTCGTACTATTATGGTACTTTGACATCTCTGTCGAACAATCATTAGTTTGTAAGCTGATCCAGCTTCTTGAGACGCATATTGATAAGAATCTTTATCCTTAATAGTTTAAATCTGTTAGCCATTACATACATATATGCGCAAGATAAGAAAATTTCACCGTCCGATTGGTTATGAATTTGAATATTATCCTAGGCGTTGTTTTGACTTTTACTTCAAATTAAAATCTCGAGGTTGATATTTCCCGATCTTCAACAATCATTTGCGTGTATATTTGAGTATTGATTTTCTTACTCTGGACAGGTGTATTCTCAGGGGATGTAAAAGTGTGACGTCACAGTTTCTGCTCCGCTGGCAATTCACTACAACTAACACATTAAATGTGTCAAGGCATACCTGATCATGTCAAGTTAATGGTATGGTGTATTTGGTATGATAACACCAAATTACTACTTAAATATATTAAACTTTGTAGAAATCGGGGAACTTCGCCGTTATGAGTTTCTAAGTATTCGGTCGTAAACCAATACACCTAATAAAGTAGTATAGCTTGCTCCGGGTTGAAGTATATGTCAATTCTATGGTGGCTGAGTAGTGCCCAGCAAAGACGAGAATCAGCAAAATATAATTCTCGTTGTTTCGTCTTTTCGCCCCTAAAAGACAAGAATTAACAAATCTGAATTTTCAAAAACTAATAGTAACTAAATCCCGTCTTTTACGAAACAACGAAATTTCACCGTACACTTTTTACTTGAATTCGGTTTTCATTATTAAATTCTCAACACATAAAAATCGATCGTTGCAAAAAAAAAGTATGTGCATGACATGTACGAACATTTAGATTTTTTGTTTGTTAATATCCTGATCAATATTTTGCAACGCATTCGTAAACTATTGATTGCTTAATGTTTTAGTCATATTTGTCAAGAGAATTAACGATCAGAACAGCTGTCTGCGTATGAAATCGACTATAAAATGTTTATCCTCTCAAACAAATCAATCTGCTACAATGAAGCCCATGTCTCCACTGTTAGCATATAAATTGTGTGAGGTCAGCATTTTAGTAGTGAATCTTTTTTTCTTTCATCTATATACCTCAGATCTAGTTGACATCGTTATCATAGTTAAATGCATCTTCGGTTAATCTTGTAACAAATAGAAATTTTAAAACTGGAATTCTCCCCGTTCCCATTTTCATCCCATAACATCACTTTGGAATAAAATCAATTCTACATTTTCAATGGAATATGTAAAACAAGTAATTTATTTTTCTTGAAGTAATACATGTTTTTTAAAACAAACACGGTATATTGTCATTGTTTTGTCCTATTTTGGAAAACAATACCTGGTAAATATGATTAACCCATAATCCTGCTTGGCGCCCCAGAAACCAACTATTCATTAGGCTTTCACAGTAGTTCTTATGCATGCTATACGATACGGCAAAGTAGTATCCGTTAGTAAATAGGCAATCCGAAAAATCAAGGAACCATAAATGACTAACACAACTAAACCATTTACTATATGTTTTAACTAAACCTTTTAGCTAACAACTTTAATATTTGAAATTCAACACCAGTGACAACTGTCTAGTCTCATAGATACATACCTTACAAAGGATACATAAAGGCCTTTTGTGGTAGGTTTAATGGTATATTAGAGTGTCAAAGCGTCTAGAAGTTGACAACCGGAAGTTTACAATCAAAACCGGTGACCCAAAACAGAAACGTCCCCAGACATTTTGCCCCTGTGCAATCCGCACACAGACATGGAAATATATCAAAAGAATACATTTTAAAATGTTAAAATCTGTCATCAGTTCTTCATTTAACTTCCGCAGTTGCTCAGTAATTAATCGGAACTGATTTTAGATAGGAACTGATTTAGTTGTGCGAGTCCTAAGACGTCCTATAGGCACCATTTTTTTCCACACTCTACGTCAAATTTCTAATTCGTCATCACTTCCAGCCATGATGGCAAAAGTTAAAATTGTTTAAAAAAAATGCATTTGAAGCTTTATAATAAAGATTGTTTCCAATACATATAAAATGTACTGACATTACCGACATTAATCATAATAACGACATTTTACATAATATATTGCACACAAAAAAAATCATGATTTTCAGTACATTTTAGCGTTGCACGTATGATCAAATGAAATTAGCTACGTCACTGAATCTCCTTCCGGTTCACCGCGGTCCTCAAACAGAACTAAGCTGTTAAAGGGTTCTTCCGGTTCATGTATTCCAGAGCCGAAAAGTTGAACGCTATCAATTGAACTGTATGGATCGTCGTCCAAATCACGTGATCTTAGCAGAGAATTTTCGTCACACAAGTTTGTCATTGTAGTTGCAACATTTGTTGCCATCAGTTCATTTTTTCTACAGTCAGCATCACTATCATTGCGTGTTGCAGATGCATGATGAAATAGGAAAACATCCGGGTGTTCAACATCATCGTCTTCCTTGCGACGCAAGTAACTACAGGCAAACGTTGTTTGACCCGGACTACTGTTATAAGGGGAGATAATATCTGTTAAAGATATTTCACTGTCAGGATGGACCTCATGCTGCTGTTTTGCATTGCCAAGCTCACAGGAATAATACCGATTCGGAATGTAGTAAACCTGATTCCCGAGTAGAGAGTTCAAACGGTCGTTTCCTCCCACTGTCTCCATGGCAATGTCGTCGGATAAATCACTAAATTGGTCATCTTCACTAGTTTGTTGAAATGGAAGGCGTCCCTCCTCGCAATTGTGGCCATTTAAGTTTCCAGATAAGCCGATTCTCCATGTATAGCTTTCGAGACCGTCAAGTCCCCCGGGACGGTTACTAATTTGTTGAAACTGAAGGCTTCCCTCCTCCAAATCCTGTACATTTAAGTTTCCAGATACGTCTATTCTCCGTGTGTAGCTCTCGAGACCGTCAAGGTCCCCGGGACAGTTGCTAATTTGTTGAAATTGAAGGCTTCTCTCCCTAAAATCCTGTACATTTAAGTTTCCAGATAAGCCGATTCTCCACGCGTAGCTCTCGAGACCGGCAATGCCCCCGGGACGGTTACCACCTCTACTTAAACTGCGGTTTAAGTCAGAAGAAAACTCATTGCCGGAACATGATCGAGTCGCTGTGGTACTTTCCGGATGCCAATGCTCTTCCTGTGATTTAATTTCATATAAGGCATTCGAGGCAACACGTTCTAATTCTTTCGAGTAGCTATCGATGAATGTCACTTCCTTAAACTTCCCCGAACGTGCAAGTTGCCGAGCTCTATCAACGTTTGATTGGGCCTCAGTAATATCCCCTCTCAGAGCATTCAACCTCGACATAGCCACCCAAAAGAACATCTCTCGTCTTGTCTCTATTCCTTTCCAAATTCCTTCCCATCTCAATTTTTGCAATAAGTTTAAAGCTTGCATAACGTCTTCTTGGCTTGGTGAGAATCCTGGAAGAATGTTCGCACGGTTTCCTATTCCGAGTAAACAGAATATCATTCTAAGAAGAAACATTCTTGTCCAAAGAATGCGAATCTCGTTGTCTTCTTCCTGTAAACTGGCCATGCCCTTCGTTGCAATCTCGATAAGTGATTGCTTCAATTTCTGAGAATGAGTCGCTTCGAACTCCCACAGCAGAACATAAACTTGTATGTAGTACATGTTTGCTACTTCCAAACAGGCTGTGAAATTTGATGCCGAACACTGTGCTTTCATAAGCATGTATTTTCCCTCAGAAAAGCGACCGCCAATTGCATTTGCATTTGCAAGTCTGCCATAATAACTTACGTCAGTCATCATAGTATTACTGCTATCATGCACCAGAGACTTTAGCTCGTCAAACAGCCCGTGACGTGAAAGGTTATCATCGAACGTGATCGCGTGTGCGTCTATTTCAACACCTAAGATGGCCACCAACTTGTCAGCGAGATAGTGTTTCCTGGAAGCATCTACTTCACGCCTTAGTTTGTCGTGATAGCTTTTTGCCAACATGCGAAGAGCTTCTCTTGGTTTTCCAAATCTAGCGTCGTGAACTTGTGATTTCAAATTCTTGAAAAACAATCTGATGGATTTTTGGTTGTCTGTTTGTATCCTGTGGACGCGTGTGATACCACGATCATCATTACCACGTTTAATTGAATCTAACAGTATCTGGGCCAATCCAGATTGTCCAGTCTTCATCAATATGTCTATCAGTGTTAGAAATGAGCACCACTTTTGGAGGTGTTCAAAAAGTTCATACCATAACATTGTGTCCCCGTTTCCACGAGATGCGTCTTTAAGAAACAGACTGTATTGGTCACCATTGATAATTTGTCGGTCTAGCAATTCCTTTAAGACAGGGAACGGGTCTAGTTTTGCACTGACTTGTGTCTTTACCAGTTCCAGAGCATGCTTTTCTATTTCGTCCATATTTCTTTGGGCTTTCACTTCAAGGAAACATCATGTCATGACCAAAGTATCCAAGCAATAGGAACATATTTGTGTCCGCCTTACCTGAAGTATAGCACACAGGACCAATAACCTGTAGCGAGAAACTGGAACCTAAAAATAACAATGATAGTGATATTTTAATTATGTTTCCAACCTGGGCCTGTTTTCACGATACCGTTCTCATACTCAAGCATGGATTATGAGCTCAAACCAACTTGTTTGTAACTCGCTTAAAGCATGTGACACAATCAAAATGTCAATTGTAAAACATCTAAAACGGTATTTGGCTTAGAGGCTCTCCAAAATTCGTTTAAATCACTGACAAAATGTGAACATGACTGGAACAAGATTTTGGACTTGAGCATAGAATCTGAGATTGAATATGAGAACGATTTCATGAATACAGGGGATATTTTAATATCGTGTGTTGCTGTTTACAGTAACGCTTGACTTACTTGGTCTAGTTAGAGTTAAGGAGGTACCTTTCTTCATCTTCTTTAATAGTATGACAGTGCTTGTCAATTGATGAAGCCTACTGGTCATAATTTTCTTTGCAACAAATATATGCCCGAACAGATATTTTACTGTGTTCAAAAATAATATACAAATTAATGTATACAGCTTGCAAATAGGTTAATCAATCAATACTTCTGTAGGAATCCAATGCTGAACTTAATTGCGGTTCATGTTAAGCTTATTAGTTAAAGTAGCAACACTTTAAACTGATCAAATATCTGTTTATAGATTTACAAGTGATGAAACATGTACATTTGAAACCTGTACTTGTGTATATATTGTGTATATATACACGCACATTGTGTTCAATATACTTTTGTATACTTTTTTACCTAATCGATACTGACGACACAGCGCAATGGTGATGTAACTCATATATCTTTTTCTATGCATTTTATTCAGATCTGTAAATATAGGCTACACATGGCCATATAGCACAACTAGTGACATCTGTATGTGTAATGGTTCGATAACTAGTGCAATATGTGACATATAAGTGATTGGTCAGCTACTTTGGGTAGGCCCGACAATGTTGTCACTGTGCGACCTAGCACCACAGAGGTGCCACTCGCTGAGTCATTTAGCAGCGGAAGCGCACCTTATAGAACTTCCGTTAGCGATGGGCATTTGTCAGTCAAGGAAAGGACGCCTGCTGAAGTTTCTTCTGGAAAACCTCCTTTCAGTAAAAGTAAACCGAAAGAGAGCGGACCATGTACATAGGACGGGCAGGAGAGTGTGACAATTATGTCAAGGAATATTTAAAGGGCAGTATGTGACAAACTTAAAGATTCGCAATTTGTTAAAAGTGTACATATTTATGATATAATATGTCTATATGAGTGCTGGGTTAAACCGGACGATGATATATCACTGCCTGGTAGCTGTACATTTGCATTTCCTCGTATTAATGCAAAAGGGGTGGGATTATAATTAAAGATGGATTGAATGAAATTTGTACATTTGCTGAAAATATTTTAGATTGCATTGTGATTTTAAAAGTTAAAATACATCGGTGAAATTGAGGCTAAACATGATACATATATATTTGCATGTTACTTCTCACCTATAAACAGCACGTTTTATGATAAAAATGATATAGGTCAATGTATATGTCTAGAAATGTGTGTACCTTATTACCATACACATGGTGATATTGCTGTCACAGGTGATTTTATTAGTAGAACTGGTGAGGCTGGTGATTTTACTAGATTTGATCAAATAGGAGAATTTTCTGCTGATATGTTATCAAATATTATTAATTATATACCAGATGTGAAGATGCCAAAAAGTTTCAACGTAGATGAACATGTAAATCAGTTTGGTAGACAATTATTAGATGTTTGTAAATCAACCGATCTTAGAATTGTTAATGGTAGACATCCTGGTGATCCTAAGGTAGATATTACATTCTATAATAGAAACGGAACTAGTCTTATTGATTATGTTAACGGAACTAGTCTTATTGATTATGTTTTAGTTCAGGACAATAAGAATCAGACTGTACATTATGTAACCTGCATGATGTCGAGGATGAGTTCCATATTATTTTGAGATGTCCTTGTTATATTGATATAAGGTTAAAACTAATTAAGAAATATTATGTAAGACATACAAGCATGTATAAATTAATTCAACTNTCTTCAACAGGGTGACCACATTGACAGTGTCGGAAATTTATTAGATTTGCATGGAATAGATCATTATTTAAGGTACTAGCTCTGTTTCTTAATCTGGTATGTAAAATGTTAAGTTTTCTATCACCAATCAGATAATATTTTGGAACATATAAATTTTGAAGATTTAGGAGAGAATTCTTAAACGCTGCATGTGAAACTCTGTGTCTTATGTCTAGGTCTAATTGGTTCCAAAGTCGGATTGTAGAAGGGAAAAAGGATGAGTTTGAAAGTTGAAGTCGGAAATTAGGAAGAGAATAATTGTCGGCATTACGGAGGTTGTATTGTGAATTTTCTGAGACAAGAGATATCTGCTGATATGTTATCAAATATTATTAATTATATACCAGATGTGAAGATGCCAAAAAGTTTCAACGTAGATGAACATGTAGATCAGTTTGGTAGACAATTATTAGATGTTTGTAAATCAACCGATCTTAGAATTGTTAATGGTAGACATCCTGGTGATCCTAAGGGAGATATTACAGTCTATAATAGAAACGGAACTAGTCTTATTGATTATGTTTAAGTTCAGGACAATAAGATTCAGACTGTACATTATGTAACCTGCATGATGTCGAGGATGAGTTCCATTTTATTTTGAGATGTCCTTGTTATATTGATATAAGGTTGAAACTAATTAAGAAATATTATGTAAGACATACAAGCATGTATTAATTAATTCAACTACTTACGTGTGAGAATTTATCGAACATTAGAAATCTTGGCAAATATTTAATACAAGCAAACAGAATGAGATCTGGTGTGTGTGGGTGTGTGGGTGTGTATCATATTGTATGTTGTCTTTGTATTATGTTGTTCTGTATATATGTTAGACCTGATAAGTCAACCGACTATAAGTAATTAATAAAGAATTTGTCAACTTGTTGCCTTCACCAGACAAATAACAGGTAAACATACATGTTTGCACACTAAGGTGTAACACTCAGATAAATCCTGTAAACTATATATATATATACCAGTCATTACCGCGATATTACATGTTCAACGATTGTATACGATTGTAAATAAATAAAGTAGTGTACATACCATTTCGCAGACTTGATTGCCGATCGCCCGAGATAAGCGCTGTCACATCCATCGCATACCCACTGCACTTTATCACCATACAAACGACGCAAACCGGAAGAACATTGTTTTGCATTTCTTATCAAATTCGCTTGATACGCTCCGCTCCGTACATGCTGAAAGCAAATGACACCAGACTAAATATAGACATATAGACTTAATATATACAGTACATGCACTGTGTTTATTTTTTGTTTGTTTCCTGTTTTGCCAGTATCTTTATCTTAAAATTACGCACTGTCCTCGTGCATACTATTGCCTCATATGTTGTCTGATAGCAACCGTACACATTTTAATTACGTTTATGTTCAAAAGTTGTACATTTTGTACTTAGTAATTATCCAAATAATTAATTTACTCATATTGTTTACACAAAAAATAGGTTATTGTCATTATATAATACTTTGTACTTATTTTAATATATTACATACCATATAGTTAATAGGAAAATACCTTCAAAACTGTCTTCCAAAGAAAACTTTTCTTCCGACTAAATAATAAAAAAAGAAAATATTTAACTATATCATTTAACCAAAAGCAAGTCTTTGTTATCTGCATGTAGCAAGTTAGAAATGATCAACACTGTTTTTAGAAAATGTTGAATAAAGTACAGATTATATACCCGTGTCCAACCCATTTATGGTAAGTCGTTGTTGGAAACGCATTGTATCGGTAATATGACATATTTATCGCGGCTCAATGAGGTATGCTGTGAGTTATCTACTGAAATACAAATACTCCTCATCTATTGTACTTTTCTGTCACTTTAGTGATGCACGCAAATTTCCAATTTTCACTAGATAATATCATAATACTTTAAAACATGTTCTTCAGGTTGGTAAGTATGGATAGTGAAAACATTCATGTATCACAACCAAAAAAGTGTGTAGATGTGACGTTTCGATGACTAGAACGATATGTACACTGTCACCTTCATCAGAAAATATTTACCAGTGACTCGTGTGCACACAAAGGTGTAAAATGTGTACGAGTTGTTCACAAATCGATTTCGATTCGGCTACGCTGTATTGCCAATATCATAACAATATGTGTCTAACAATACGTCACAATAGATGAATATAATGTAACTGATTTTTTGTTATTCAGGTGTGTTTAGGTTATTAAACAATACATAAGGTTTTAGTGACGATACAAGGGTCTGTTAACATTCCTGTGGTAGTCGTTCGTTTATTGGGTTTATTTTAGACTCTAACCGTCTATCATAATTATAATACATGTATCATACACTAGATAGCTTACCCAGTTTAGTGAATGTATTATCCAATGCATATCGAGGTACACTGTATAAACAACATATTTACTGTAATGTGGCATATGTTATTGACAGGTTAAAAAACCTACCTGTAATGATTTAACCATTCCTAAACTACACTATTTTAACAAGAGCTATTAAATTTGTACAAAGTTAATCGCAATCGATTGAACATACCATTTAAAACGTTTGTGGTTTATTTCCCAAGACTTGAGCTGTCACACTCAATATCCACGAAACTAGGTCGATCGTCGCTATGCACTGCTATTGATTGACGCAATCCAAACCGAAAGAAGATCCTTTTGTTCTGGTTGAATACGTCTTGCACATATCTATTGTATGTCTTTAAACAATGACGCACTTATATTCATCAACAGATTTTGGAGTAATCTTCTTTTAAAATGTACACCGAGCAAAAGATATGTACTTTTTCACTTTTATTCTGACAGGATTTACCATTTACTGCAAGGTTAATCAGCCTGAAGAATGTTTATTGTACTTATGACGTAATTCCTCATAGCTCGTTTTGGATTTCCAGTCTAAATCTGGAGACTCGATAATATTTTTTAAGGATCCTTGTTCGATGTTTTTCGTACATGTATATGGAGCGACTTGGTCAGTGTAGTGCGGTTGACCAGGTCAGTATGCATACAACGAGTGTATAAGTGCCTTGTCCCTTTGCATCTTTCAGAAGCAGAAAACATGTATTGTACCCTGAATACATAGGAATATTCCAATGCTGGCCAGTCCTATCATCGGGTGAGTGGTCCTCCTTCGTTAGACGCTTCGGCGCTTATCCGCGACGTCCTCCAGAGGTGTGCCTACTGGATTGATCAGACCCAGCCAGGGACTGGTCCGCTCTCGCTGCTGCTGATTGGAATGACAGCTTGCTGCCATGTTGTTGCTGCCGCCTCCTGCATCATCCATCGAGTCTCGTGATGTCCCGTGTTGTGGCACCGTGTGACTAGAACTGTTGTTGGTATCCACCAAACGTCTCTTCTCTCTTACTCCATATCCAGTTGGATGCCATATACGCCTGTCTGCTCACCGCATCCACCAGCTTCTTCCGCTCTGCCCGTAACATTCCAAGCAACCTCAAAGTCCTCCATAGAGATTGGCCAGGGAAACCCCTGCATCCGACCTCTACTGGCAGGCACCATACCTTCCAACCTCGTTGTTGGCAAGCCTTTAGCATTTAAGTTGCTGGTACTTGTCCTCTTCCGCTCATGTGCCTCCTCTATCCTTTTCTCCCATGGAATCGTCAGTTCTACCATCAAGACCTGCTTGGAGTTCCGGGACCTCAACACAATGTCTGGGCGGAGTGGTGTAGCAGCCACCTCTGCTGGGAAACCCATCCTCTGATGGATATCTGCCCTCATTTCCCAGTCTCCTGCTGTTGCAAGTATCTCACCTCCCTCCGATCCGCCCTTCCCTTTGGTTCCTGCCTTATACAATAAATGCTAAGTTTGTTTTAAACACAATCAGTAATTGAAAGCTTATTTTGCGAGCTTTCGAAACCATCTGTTTTCTTTATCAATCGAAGAGAGCACACGACCGGTGTATTGACTTTAAACCGCTGAAAGCAACTCACTAAGCCACAATGTGACGATCAGTAAATTAAGCTGTCAGAAAATATCAAGAAATTTCGTTGACATATATAGTTAGTTGAATAGTGCATTCTTCACCTGTGTGGTGCAGAGAATGAAACGTAATATTGCCTCTAAATTACATGCTTGTTTCATCGATATTGGTGTTGATCAAGTTCAACGCTGTCAAAACAGCCCTATATGAACCATGATATCGGGAAGCTTCGATCGTGCGTTCGATATGTGAGCTCTTTAGATACTTATATGATATATTCCGTCGTCACTTACTTGTGTAGATAATATTTAAAGACTACATACATTTTTTTTTCTTTTACAGTTTTAATGATGAAATGAGTTCCTCCTGAGGAGGCAAACGATGTGCTGGATGCTATCTAAATGAATATGTGCTTTTTACATAATTGGTTAATCTAGTGTCTGTAAATAATAAACTTTTTATTATCAAATTGATCTGTAGAAAATTTGATGAACACCTATATACAACACAAAACAATTGATTAAAAATTGAGTCAAATTAACGTAGGCGCGCGCACCACACCCCTTTACAGTATGCAGAGATACGATTGGAATTGACAAAACAATGCACCGGTACAATAATTTATACTCAAAATGAGCAGCAACCCGTGCTTTTTTATTCCCAGTCATAAAGCTTGAAATGTTTTATTCTTTATGCAATCCAAGGAATTTAGCACATAATAGATATACACACCACTTCTAAGAATATTGCAGAGGGATCTGGAGAACCTGTCCGTTTAAGTCTCACTAAGATTAGTAATTTATCAATGAACCACCTGATCAGATATGTAATGTGCATAGCATGGGCCAGTATTATTTGCCTCGTTTCTGACTTTCATCTGTCGAGTGATGCAGTTGTACTGATTGTGGTACCCGGTTTGCGTATAATGTGACTCTGTGACAGTATTTACACATTTCATTTATTTATATTTTTCTTGAAATTGATCCAGTATATATATATACCAGAGACATTTAGACGTCTCTGCTTATACATTTCCCCGTTATCTCGCCTGAGGACATAGTTGTTAAATTGAAAATTGGAAGACACGTAATCTACACCAATCTGCATACTAACTTCAGGTACCCCCTTGCCCACCTAGGCCTGCTGACATCGATATCCCTTTCATGTCATACCCCAGTGTACACAAGTATAATAATAAAGATTGTTTAAGTACAATTCTGATTATATTATCATTGCAATAGTGTCTCCTTTCTCATCACAAACTCAACAAAACCTATTAAAATAAAAATAAATTCACAGAATTGCATTCCATGAAAGTCTTTGGGCACTAAATTGAACGTCCGGAATTTTAATAATTTGGTTTCACTCTTATAATTTAGGACACCTAAAAATAGCTGTGATCAACTTTTGTAAAATGGTGGAGTACATTTTCTTTCTGATCATTATCGCTCATAATGATTTTATCAGTCTAAATATAAAACTCAGATGTAAATTTACTACGGATAGCCAGATTCTTGTATTGAGTTTGGCCTAGGTGTTCATTTCATTTCTGTTCCTTTGAAACCGAAACCATTTTACATAAATCCCCGGATGTTGTGTTCACGCGCGCAGAAGCGAAATTTGACGTAATGGCGGCAGTGCGAAGAAAACGGCCTATAGATGCAATACACGCTGAAGCAAGTCAAAGGAGGGAACAGAAATCAACGAAGAGCAATATGGAATACGTAGAAGGCGCAATTGTTCGCATAAAATTAGAAAATATTCTGTAAGTGTATCACCATTTGGCTGTCGATACTTCTGTCTTAGCCTACAGTAGTGAAGCCACTGTGCAAGAAGTGATAACACCTGCAATATATCTAAATCACGAAAACACCCGTTCATGCATACAAGCAAATGTGCGATTTGCTTTTAATTGAAATAGCTTCAATATTTTTCTTTCAATAGGTGATGCATGTGGTACAGATACAGGCATTGTAGTGCTAATTCCGTGAAGTAACTTAACCTCATATAATCTTGCGATGATCTGATCCCAATATCACACATTGTCATATCCTCTCTCAGAGCGTCAACCGCTTTAACTACAAGAGGCTTTTTATCGAATCCACATCCAACATAGCATCGTGAACGAAATATGTAACGAGTATCTCATAGGTGTCAACCTCTGAAACCTCCAATGAGATCTCTCTCATTCCACTTTATCTCATTTCAAATGAGGGAGAAAGAGTGTGGAACGCGACTGAAACTGCTTTGCTAAATTCATATTTCCCTTTTTCATGTATCAAAATAAATTTAGAAAAAAACACATTTCATTCAGACACGCCAGTTGTCATCATTACACACGCTGCAGTATCTAGGTGATCATTTGACCACAGGATGTAGATTTTTAGTTTGTGTGAGTTTGGAATGATCGAGTTTCAAGGGAGATTGGTAAATTTTGGTGAAAATGAGGGAGTTCCCAAGATATAGCTGCCAGTCTCTGAAGTATTTCAAAACATAAAACTTTTTGACACAATCTCCTTGCATGACTGATAAAAATAACTGTTAAACTTACTATCTCCTCTTCAAATCTTGTTTATGAGCAGAGATAGAAATAAGATCTTTCATTTTGTCTCTTTATAAAAAATTGTCAACGTAGTTTGGTGTGTATTTCACCTTTTTTTAACAGAGCATATTTTTCTCTCCAGCTGTACGTGTCATCAAATTTGTTGACAGTGATCATAACCATTTCATATCTTTACTGAACAGATTTTCACAAAATGGGTACACTTTGTCAACCATTTTCACAAGTAGGACTAAGCTGCTAGAATTGAATTGTACACCCTGACCTTGATAGTTTCATGATCAATTGTCTGTTATCTGGTATTCTGGGTATAAGGCAATTAATAAATTCTACCCAGTAATCCACAGGAATAGTTGAATACTACAGATTATTTGTAAATTTATGTTACTGAACCCTAGCTAGATCAATTGTTAATGGTAAAGATATTGTAATCAATTTTACAAAACAATTATTTCAGTTCCTATCAGCAGGTTTAAGATTGTGTGAAGGATTCTTGATTTTTGGTGGGAAAATATTAACTTTCCACTCAAATCTAGGTACATATTTTAAAAGTATTTTTTCTTTAGTTTTAACATTACCTTTTTGTTTGTTTCAGAACATATGATTCTGTGGAGTTTCAAACTGGACCCTATCTCAATGTGATCATAGGACCTAATGGTACAGGAAAATCCACAATAGTTTGTGCAATATGTCTGGGTCTTGGCGGTAAAATTGGACTTTTAGGAAGGGCTCAGCAGGCAGCAGAATTTATAAAATATGGAAAGCAAAAAGGAATAATTGAACTGGAGTTGTAAGTCATATATGATATTATTTGTAACAAAAACACTGTAGATCTGAAAACAGAAAGTTATGCCTTGAACTGTTAAACTATAAGAGGTAATTGTCAGGAAATTGTTTTATTTTAAACAAATAATCATGTGTACTTCACTTTCACTTTGGATAAATGGTTAGAAAATGTCACTTTTGCTTTAGAAAAAAAGGTGAAAAACATTTGCATCATTTGTTCTCAAGAGTTCATTAGACCATAATATGGGGAAAAAATCTGGATCTTAGGTTTGAAGTCAAGCTTAGAATTCGTCCTTAATGGTTTGGTCTAGTCTGCTACATATACATTAATTGATATATAATTTGACTGTTGGTAGGATTTTATTTTTAAACTTAATCATGAAAATTAAGTTTTATGCAACTGTTATTTCAAAATAAAGTTGTATGTGACTGTCAGTTGTTTCCTTTATTGACATTTCAGATTCAACACTGATGGAGACAATTATGTGATTGTCAGGGAGATACACAGGAACAACCAATCTCAATGGAATGTCAATGGACGTGGGGCCACCTTGAAAGCTGTAAGATGTTTTCTTTATTTTCCGTACAATGTGCATTACCCCCAACTGAATGAAGTCCATAAAAGTAAAAATTCAAATGTCGGGGCACTAGCTCCTGCAGTGTCGCACTTTGTTTTATTGAAAGACGTAACGAATATTGGACCTACTAATCCTCCTTTCAGAATTGAGTGTTCTCCCCCGTAGAGCTGTATTTCATCTAAATTAATTTTTAGCTCGTCTGGTGAGAAGGACCATGGTGAGCTCATGCCATACCGCAGCGTCCATTATCTGTCCGTCTACTTTTCCTTTAAAACGATACTTGTCCTGACAGTAGATTTTGACTAAATTTGGTCTGTAGCATTCTTAGGCCANTTGGGGAAGAGGGGTGGGGCTCAATAGGGGAAATATAGGTAAAACTTTTAAAATCCTTCTACTGTAGGGATAAAGGAATTTTATTCTAATTTAGTCTGGAGCATCCTTGGGCCAAGGGGACTCAATTTTGTATAAACTGTGGGTGTGGCCCCCCAAAAGGCAGAGGGGGGGGGGGGCAAATAGGAGTAATAGTGGTAAAACCTTTGAAATTCCTTCTGCCGTAAGGATAAAGGTCTGGAGTGTCCTTCCAAGAGGACTCGATCTTGTATAAACGGTGGGTGTGGCTCTTTTGGGTGCATAGGGGCAGGGCTCAGAAGGGAAATTTGAGGTTCAACTCTTTCAAATCCTTCTCAGTCTGTACCATTTGAGGGATTTTATCCAAATTTGGCCTGGAGCATCCTTGAGCAAAGGTGTGTTAATTTTGTATAAACTATGGGTGGGCCCTTTTTGCTGCAGAGTTGTGGGGCTCATCAAAAGGGGAATTTGAGGTTTAAGTCTTTAAAATCCTTCACCATTTCTACTATTAGAGGGATTTTATCAAAATTTGGCCTGGAGTATCCTTTGTCAAAGGGGACTAAATTTTGCCCCTCTGGGTGCAGAGGGGAAGGGCCCAAAATGGGAATTTGAGGTTTAAGTCTTCATAATCCCTCTTCCTCTGTACCATTGGAGGGATTTCATCCGAATTGAGCCTGGAGCATCCTTGGGCATAGGGGACCTTTTTTTTATATATAAATGGAGGGTGGTGCCCCTCTGGTGCAGAGTTGTGGGGCCCAAAAGGGGAATTTGATTTTAAATTCCCATGTTGCTTTATTATCCAGGTGTACAATTCAGGCCCTATGGGCCTCTTTTTAAAAATGAAATTGCTTACCTAAATTTACCACTAAGGAGCTAGCTCTAAGATTTTAGAAAATTGTAAGAAGAGATCAATATTAATCAGGCTTTCCTATATCATGATGAACTACTGCTCAGTATTTCCAGAAACCGTATGAGTACAAGAGTTCCATAAAAAATCTTTGAATATAGAACATGGAATCTGCATGTAGATTTATCATTGCAGGTAGAGGAGCTTGTCATGAGTAAGAACATCCAGGTCGGGAATCTGTGTCAGTTCCTACCCCAGGAGAAGGTTGCAGACTTTGCGAAAATGACACAGGAAGAATTATTGGAAAATACAGAAAAGGCTGTAAGTCATCAATTAAATAAAGGCCAAGACAATAAGGGCAGCCCGCTGGTCTGAGACTTGTGAAATCTCCAACTGGACTAGTGATTCTAAAAACTTTTTATATTACTTATGTTGAATAATATTGGGTTAGTGGAATTTGCACATGGACTAGCTAGTAAAATTGGAAACTACTAGCTGGGCTGACTTGTGGTTAATGATATTTACACTAGCCCTATAAATGATCAGTAAATAACATTTTATTTTAAAAATGCCTTCCCAGAAGAAGTATATGCACAAATTCTGTTTCTCTGGACAGAAATTTGTATAAAGCCATAAAATTGTAAACACCAGAGGCAAATAAATTTGTTACTAATACCATGTCATTGAAAAGAGATTAAAGCTTTCAGGTTTTCAAAGGAATGCCTAAAGCAAGCAGATGTTCAACATAATAATAATTATTTGAGGTTCTTATATACTGCTTTATCACACCCTAGTTCGTAGGTTGTCTCAAAGTGGTTCACAAATTGTTATTCATGGTAATAGGGCTTTGCAACAAGCCAATATCTTTCTCAACTGCCTGGGGAGCATACAGCCGGTGCTGTTATTTCGGTACTCACAGCTAGCATTCAACAGTTCTAGCACCGCCCCAACCATGTTCTCGTTTACAGCTGAGTAGACTGGAACAAGCGGAGTAAAGTATTTTGCTCAAGGATACAACACATTGACACGAGTCGAACCCACAACCCGATATCAGTGTATATAGTGTGATGTTTTCAAAATATTGAAAGTAATGATAAGCAGAGTTCTTGATTTTTCACCTGAGATCTCATCAAAATATTTTTGATTAAGTATAAGATGATTGTAATTATCATGTATAGTGTATATAACCCAGCTTACTTTTGTATTTGATTGAAGTTTTATCATGTTCAAAGGTTGGACCCCCAGACATGTATGAAAACCATATGAAACTAAAGGAGGCGAGGAATGAAAGTCGAAGCCTCAAACAAGGATTCGAAAATCTTGAAGAACGATTAGCACAAAACATCAACAAAAACAGCAGATTAGAACAAGATGTAAAGAATTTTCAGGAGCGTGAGCGTCACCTGGAGAAGGTGGAAATCCTTCAGAAAAAGCGGCCCTGGATAGTAAGATGTTAAATTGTGTTATATAGTATATCATTGACATTATCCAGTACCAAGAAATGAGATAATGAATCGGCAACAAGATATGCTCAAGATTTTCATGAGACAGCTTTATTTAAGGCCTGCTTTAAGTAACAACAACACAGCTTCATAGGTTTAAATAGGTGTACTTTCAAAAGCCGACATATAACACAGTTTTAGACAGGACTGCTAAAAAATAACGAAAATAATCACAGATTAAGATAGGTCTGCTTTAGATATTTTATATAATCCCAAAAACACAGCTCTCGAACCTGCTTTAAAAACAGTATTTACATTATAGGAATACGATGAAAAAAGGAAAGCGTATGATGTAGTGAAAAGAGATCGAGACAGCAAAATGGACTCACTGAAGCAAGCGAAAGTGCAGTTTGAGCCTCTGCAGAGAAGACTCGACGAGATTGCAGCAAAGAAAGAAAAAGCTGATTTACAAATGAAACAGAAGGTGACTAATTCAAAATAAGCTTAATTAGTATATTGCAGTTTGAAAATATTTCTGAAATTGAAATGCATGTGTTCAGATGAGAAATATTCAAGATTCATTCCCAAGTTGTGGATTGGACCAGATGTTTTATAATGAATGGAAAAATTATCAGCAATAAAATCAAAGGTTCATATGCAATATGCAGATCTTCGATTATTTCTGTGAAAAGTGTTACCCCCCCCCATTATAATTCAGGAATAAAGAAAAAACTTCACCTATTTAAACTCTATCAGGAGGACACCCAAGAGGTATACAGAAGTCCCTTAGATGTAAATCAGGTCTCCTGGAATCAGGAGTTGCTTCTTTTTCATATAGTGTCCATTGGTATCGAGAAATTTGTGTTTGGTTGAGATTAGTCACTCTTTCATATGTAGGACAATAGGTATCATAATATCACCATAACATGTCTTCTGATAAAGTTTGACTCGAACTCTTTAGAAATGTTAAAGCATGGAGTATATTTCAGACAAACAGCCTCAGAGATTTTGCAACAAAAGCCCAGGCAAATAGCAAAGAGATAGAAGCAGCTACTGACAAGGTAATGCTGAAGCTACAAGTTATTCTGACCAGACAGAAATATTCATTTGAACTGTTTTATCATTTAAATAAATGCTTTGATCAGTTCGATTTAGCTCTCGTAGAACTCTATAGGGAGCTTTTCAAGCAATGTTATCATTTACAAATATTCACATTAATTTGTTAAGAAAAATATCTCATCAAAGATATGTATTTTCCCGAACGCTTTACTTGTATTCATCTGGTTTTGTTTTAAAGTGAATTCTCCAAAAAAAGTTTTCATTTTGAGGATTTTGACTATTGAAAAAATAAGCTCTTTTATTTTAGATGTTTTGACCATTGAAAGTTCTTCTTTGATATATTTTAATACTTACTGGGGGAAAATTAGCATGACAAGCAAAGATATTTGCATGAATATTTTTCCTGTCATTTTTTTCAGCAAAATGAAATTCTGGATGATTTAAACCTCAAAAAGACGGAGGAAAATTCAAGAAGAAAAAGGTATTGATGTTGATGAAAATATGATAAGGGCTATTCCAGAATAAACATTTTTGCCTGAGACCCATTTTACAAATATTACAAACAAGTACACATGACATGAATACAAATATTTTAGACCACGACACCCATATAGTTATTATTATCAGTTTGAAGTACCTCATGGCTCCCTCCCTCTCATATATATACTCTTGTCTGAAAGAGCCTCTGGCATAATGTTTCTTTACAAAATATTGGATTCACAAAAACAATTACAGAATTGTAAAATCAGTTACAGAATAAACTCCTCCAAAGCAAATATTGAACATGCATTATGATATTAATTCAGTTAAAAACATCTTGATTTACGGATATTGTTCGTTTTTTTATTCTTCAGAATTCAAGACCTACAACGACAGGTGGATGCTCTGCAATCTGAATATCAAAACACAGATGAGCAGGAAAATCTACAGGTATCTTGTGTGCAGTCAATGTCATATTGTGTGTATGTGTCAACATCATTTCTTTGCAACATCACTAAATTGATTTATCAGATTGATGAATCCAGTCAAATGTGTATTAGGAAGCTACACCTGAAAAGTTCAAAAGTGGTCTCTTCATAAAAAGTATTGATAGAGATTAAGGGGAGCAGTTTTGTTTATAAAACAACCTCAACAAGAAAATATAGCTGTGTTATCTTTAAAAGATATTTAAGGATTGAATCCTGTTTTGTTGAGGTTTATGGGGTATAAAGCTCTATGGGTCTTGAGACAAGTTTGATAAACTGCGAAGCATTGAATTTGTCTCAAGACCCATTGAGGTTCATTCCCCATAAACTTCAACAAAACAGAATTCTACCTTTGTATTTATATTCAATGCGATATTGATATTTTTTTGGATAATTTCTAAAATATGGGTCTTGTGCAAGTCTTACACCACGGAAGGTACCGAAGCTTAACATGTCATCGCTCACTGTGAGACGTCGTCCTGGTAAGATAAATAAATTGAAAATGAAATAAGATGTGAATTATTTTTCTTTGATTTAATTGAAAACTTCTTCAGACAAAAAAAAAACAAGAAATTGAAAACAATAAAAACCTCTTCAGACAAAAAAACCCAAGAAATTGAAAACAATCTATTAACAGAAGTAATTCCCACGCTCCCCAGAATAACAAAGTAATCACAATGATAATAGGCTGATTTATTGGTACGCCAACTGAAAAGTTAATTGAAAAATAACTTTAAAATGCCTAGCAGGTATATGGAGTCCAAGTTCAGAAGAAATGTAAATGTAAACAATTATATCATAAAGGTGCGTGAAATGATATATAGAGAATAATACATCCTTTTACCATATCACACCCAGTATCAACCCGAGACTGCAATATCAGCCTGATGGCCAAAGGCCCGAGGGCTGATATTGGTCGAGGGTTGATGGGTTGATGGATTACTATAGTTAATAATTTTCACTGATCTGACAGTTAAAGGATGTGTGAAAATGGCAGGTTTGGACACACATTTGAATGAAGCTTGTTCAACTATCCTATATTTTCTGTGTTCACTAGGATATATAGACACTGCATATCTGTAAAACTGTACAATGAATGGTCAGTTGCCTTAGCAGATCTCACTTGGTCAATGCAGTAGGAACAAAAAAAAATTCAGCTGTCCCATTGTCTGTTGACATTTTTTAAACACATTACGTTGATAACTCAATTAGATAGTATTGTTTGTTTAAAGAACACAGAAATGGCATCCCTCAGTTAGATTACCCAAAGGTCATTTTTGCGTTTTTTGATCAATTTCTATGTGTGGTAGTGACAGAAGCTATGTTTTATATGGTTGTACAGCCATTACTGGAAAAGGCAACCAATGAAATGCGAGCTGTGAACAGAAAGATGACACAAATACATGAGGAGGGTGAGGGTATCCGACGTGGCATTGCAGATCTAAAGAGACAAGTGGATGGTGAGTCTGGATGTTCGATTCTTGTCCATTTCTACATCATAATAGATATATATGGTCTGTATGCATGTTCCTTGCCATGGTTTTGACCATATTTCCTGAAACTTCACACAAGTGACATCAAACTCTGGAGCATAGTTTAAAGTCAAAGTCATACATTTAGCTACACGGTCACAGTTACAGACTATTTACTTGAGGATAGGAAATAAGATATTTGGCTGGTCTGCAGGTTACAGTTTTTAGCTTAATTTCATGGAATGTTACAGAAGAAATTCTGACTTGTATCAATCTCTACATACCAGAGGAAGGTCAAGTTTTTGTGGTCAAGGTCACAGTTGCAGCATTTTGAGAAAATTGGCATGTTCATGCATTCCTGACTAAAAGTTTCAATCAGATTTCAAGATACTTAACACCATTATTTCAGGCCTCTGTTTCTGAGAATTGGTTGGTTGTGCAGGTGATAATCTAAGGTCAAGGTTACAGCTTCAGACTCTTTACGTGATGAACGAAAAAATTTAAGCCAAATTTCATAAAACTCCCTCCATATTGCTCAAAATCAAAAGCATCGAGTGAGAGTCCACAAGACAAATGAAATAGTCAGTAGGACATTATCCAAAATGTAAAAAGATCTAGTTCAAAAGCAAGTTTAATGATTATTTTGTTCTAAAAACATTTTATAGTTATTGCAAGAGTACTCTTTCAAAACAATAACTTTTCAAGTCTTTCCTTAATATACATTTCAGATTTTAAATTTATATATTTGATGACATTTGTTTTTGCAGGATACCAGCAAGAGCTGAGGAGGATACAGAATGTGGAGAATAAGCGAATGGAGATCTTACGAGGCAAGGACAAAGACACCTACAATGCTGTATTGTGGTATAAAGAAAATAAACACCAGTTCAGAGGCAATGTTCATCTCCCTATGATGTTGTCTGTAAGTATATACCGTAAATGCTATGTTAACCACCACACCCCTAAGTATTTACCGTAAATGCCCTGTTAACCACCACACCCCTAAGTATTTACCGTAAATGCTATGTTAACCACCACACCCCTAAGTTTACCATAAATGCTATGTTCATCTCCCTATGATGTTGTCTGTAAGTATGTACGTAAATGCTATGTTATCCACCCTACCCTATGTGATAAAAAAAAAATAACCGTAAAAAAGGACTGTATGTTGGGGTTCTGCTTTCTGAAGTCGTGTTAGCCCCATAAAACGAAAATATGTAGAAATTTCAATAATAACTTCTTTTCCTTTCAACAGATAAATCCGAAAGATGCTTCATTTGCCAAATACATAGAGATGCACATTAGTGCCAAGGACTTTCAGGCCTTTGTGTTTGAGGACAGCGAGGATTACACGAACTTTATGAACATGATCCGTGACGAACAGAAGCTAAAGGTCAATGCTGTCAAGGTTCCTCAAGCTCCACTGAGTTCGTTTAAACCTAAATACAGCATAGATCATTACAGGTAAGGGAGAGAACTCCTGTAAAAAACAGCCCTGAGTGAACTCTCTTTTTAGCTCACCTGGCACGAAGTGCCAAGTGAGCTTATGCCGTGGCGCGGCGTTTGTCGTCCGTCCGGCGTCAATATTTTACTTTAAACGACTTCTTCTTTATAACCAAAAGGCCTAGGGTGTCGATATTTGGCCAGAAGCAAACTTAGATGAAGGGCTACAAAGTTTGTTAAAATTAATGACCTTCACCTATTTTCAAGGTCACAGGGGTCAAATATGTTAAAAACTTTAAACATCTTCTTCTCAATAACCAAACTGCCCAGGGAGATGATATTTGGCCAGTAGCATGCTTGGGTGAAGGGCTACCAAGTTTGTTCAAATGAATGACTTTCAGTTATATTCAAGGTCACAGGGGTCAATTGTCTTAAAAAACCTTTAAACAACTTCTTCTGAATAACCAAAATGCCCAG